CACTTACCTAACGTGCGGGACATAGCAGTAAAAAGAACGAGCCATACGTTAATTTGCAACCTCACCTCCACTCATTTAATTTAATTTAATCTGAATATTAAAATTTCCGCATAATTACGACCTGCTCAGTAATTAAGTCAAAAGTCCATACAACGACCGAAATTGCCCAAATAGTCTTGGACACGGATTAAATCGTATTAACGTTTAAAATCAATGGAACAATAATTGAATATCCATTGAGCGCGCAACATTTGAATATCAAACCCTGCCGCTATACATTTTTAAGCGCATTAATTGTGACTATAATTTCAAGCGTAAAACACAAAATGGAATATAATTCTCGTATTTGGCAGGGATCCGCAATCCTATGTGCCAAAACTACACGTAGTAAAAAATGAAGATTTCACGCATAATTTATTTTCTACCCCGACGTAGATTCTAAAATACGGAACAGAGCACGTTTTTAATATAACAGTCGGGTAACAAACAGTGAAAGTTTTGCTTAAAACTTTATCCATTTCGAACGAGGGCCGGCAAGATGTAAGACACAATACTGTCTTAACAAAAAGCACAATAAAGAATCAAAAATTCGGTGCTAAGCTTCACATCTAAACATAACTGAGAAATAGACATTGTTCAAACGTCCTTTTCGGTTACAAAAAAAAATCTTACACAAACCTCTAGCGAAAGGATATCTGAGCCCGTCAAAAGGGAAAATAATTAAACCTTTAGAGGGTGTCAGGATTTTCGCGTCAGATTTCGCAGACTCGATCCAGTTTTAATACAGTTTAACATCGTTCAGTCTTCGTTTTTCATTTTAGTTTATGGTGAAGCTTCGAGTATCTTCTAGTACGGAAAACCACTCAATTGATTAGAGAAAATCAAATACCATAAAGATGGAATACTTACTTTAGGGCGTTTTGAACGTTATCAGCTTCAATACAATGTTATAAAGGTTCACATTGCATTTTGGACCAATTGATTTGCCATTTTTGACTCGAAAATTCCTATTTGATCTACAAAATTCGGCTTGAACTCTGGAAAGAATTGTCAAGTGGCAAGATTACACGCCAAAGCAAACGGGATCAGATTGATCTCAACACCCCTCCTCAAGCTTATCACTATATTGAATGCCCAAACTAAGCAGTGCTTCTTAAACATGATTGTACACTAATAAGGCCGGAACACCCTTCTTACATCGACAATGGTGTAGAAGATTAACCACTGGAGCTAGTGATGCCGCCGAGACGAGACTCAGTCTCGTCTCGTCTCGTCTCGTCTCGAATTTTCGAGACGAGACCGAGGTTCAGTCTCGTCTCGTCTCGTCTCGACGAGACGAGACTAAGCATGAGTCTCGTCGAGAGTCTCGCCGAGACTCTCGTTTGGTCTCGAATTTGTTTGTATTTATTTGTACTGTTTTAGCGGAATAGTCTAAATCGAGAACAAAAAAAGATAAACTTTTGCGAATCGATTTCTACGAGTTCAAGGATCACTGCGGATTAGAAGTCGTGTTTCCGATTACGAGCTGTCAAAAAATTCCCTGAAAATCGTATGCGATTCTTCATACATATCTTGTTTAATTGTGCCCACGGACACGGAGGCCATCTTGAGGCCTGCTTGTCTAGTCCATAGGCTCACTTACCCTCTAAAAAAGAGAACCCGTGGTTATGAAAGGCGATATTTAAGGGGCTGGCAGAATTAACTTCCGGCCGGAAAACTGCAGGCAGACCAACATTTCCTGAAAAGGTGACTTTCAATTTATATGCATGTGAATTTTCCAGTTGTTGTGTTATGAGTATAGCAATTCACAAAAAAACAGTTCAATTAATCCGCTTCTGCCGCTATTTCCGGCTGGACAAAACTCGGTAGAAAAGAATTTTTCCTTAAAACCCATCGCCCTCAACCTACGGTTATCAATTTCAGGTGGTTTGGTTTTCGGTTTAATTTGCGGAAAAAAATTCACCGGAAGTGCCTATTTTTAATAACATTCCGGCCAGAAAAAGGCTGGCAGAAAACTCATTTTGTGTTATTCAAGTTGCAAGGAATCCAGTAACAAAGATTTCATCTTGTTAGCTTATCACTACTGGTTCCATGCGTCCGGCTCTCGTACCTACTATATTACTCCTATTATTTACTTGTCATGCCTTCGTAGTTCGTGGTCTTTTATATGCTATATGCTCATTGCTCTACCTACATACACTATATTTGGATAGTGTCTCGAGACCAGGCGAGACCAAACGAGACTAGACGAGACGAGACGAGACGAGACTGAACCAGGACGAGACGAGACTCAGACTTGGTCTCGTCTCGAGGTAACGAGACGAGACGAGACTTTCGAAAGTCTCGTCTCGTCTCGTCTCGCGGCAACACTAACTGGAGCTGTAATTTGAAACCATTCCGTCGGATAATTTTTTCTTCTGCTAATTGACCGTCGAATCGCTGTAGGATGCATTTTTTCAAACAGTCACATCCAATGTTTATAATTGGCAAGCAAGTCAAATCTAGATTTAGCAAGGTTTTAAACGATTTTTTATGGGACATTTTCTATAAGCAAGACATTTTACTTTGATGGATGTTTCCACCCAATAAAATTCTATGCGGTAATCGAAATCTGTGTACCGAATCTCTCTAAAAAATCTTTCCAGATTTCCTATTTGGTGCTAATTACATGACGTTTAATGATCACCAAAATCAATCCTCAAATCTTGACACCCTGCAGACTTCTTGTGAATGCCTAAACTGATTTACCCTTAGAAATCCCAAAAATTCCAAGTTTATCTTATTCTAGGAAAAGATTTAAATGCAAATTTAGAGCTACCGTTACACGATTGCTTGTATACCTTTAATGCGAAGGTCAGAAAATGAAATTTTGACAAATCTAGTCGGTTGTTAGTTTATAGTTATTTACATAAAAGTCAGGAAAATGATACATTACTGGCGAAGAAATATTGAAGTGCGAGGCCCCATTGCAGCCGAGTACTTTAATTTCCGAGTCAGGTAATGACATTTTACCGACGAGTTTTGTATTAAATTTTACCCGCAATCGTCTTTTAATACAAAATTTCAATTTTTATTAACTTTGATTAATGTCAAAAATTTCCTGACAGAAAGTAGGCATGAAAATTAAGGTTTCGGGACGATTTTGGCTAAAAATGATTAAAGCAACATTTTTATAAAGGTTTGGTGTTACTCATAAACTCACATTTCTGAGACAACCCTTACTTTTTTCCTGTATAACCAGCTTCATAACGAGCGATTGAAGCGTTGTCCATTAGAAAACCGCAAATTACAAACTATTCCTTGCTAGCAAAATCAACTAAAATTGTTTCCGCCACACGAACTGGAAGATAAAGTAGAGGCTTTTCTGTAAACGGGAGCGATGGTTTATCGACCGTCAATCTAATTGGTGCGCTGCGGCGGTTTTGCATCCCTTGCACTTAGCTCTTAATTTATATCTCACTAAATGAGGTATAGTCAATTCCCCTAGTTCCAAACCAACTGTTTTACAGCCGCGAACTTTTGTAATTTCAAAGGAAGTCCCAAGGATTCCAGAGATTGTTAGGTACGTTGACCTGAACGCTTAAAGGAATTTGCAATATGTTTGTCAACGGATGACATTACTTTCATTTAAAACAGTTACTAAGTTACGTGCCACGAACTGCAAGAATGTTGAGCTTTCTCGAACCAAAAGTCCTGCACGTCTGTACCTGCAGGGATAATTTAGACAGTGTGTGTGCGGTTTTCAGCGGTAAATCCCTAGAGTATGTAAATTGGGGAAGCATCAGATTTAGGTTAAGACCATTGCGTCAGCATTATGTTTACACTTTTAGAGCAGCGGATCTGAACGAGAAAAGCTTTTAGTTAATTTCGGTATGGAAAATATTGTTTTAGTGAACGCTATCTATTAGATTTCGGCGTGGAGCACCGAAAACAAAAAAGGAAATAACGAGGCGCGGAAAAGTTCTGATTGCTAATGATGAAGGGGGTTTACTAATGATGAGGGTTACAGGTTGTCTCTACTTCAGCGATGCGTAAATCCGTCTACAAAAAAGTATGCTTTCCAAGCGAAGTTTTTCCACAACAAAAGAGGGAGATTGTGGGTTGAAGTTTGAAGTAATGGATAAAATAAACCGCAACGTGCAGCGTTATTTACTTCCAGTGGGTAAGATTTCCCAGAGGTCAGTGTAACATCTTGTAGTGTTAATACGTTAGAGCTAGTTCAGTGCAGTTAATTATTTATTTTATCTTCGGGGATTTCCGTGAACGTCTATTTTATTTTATGGTGCTCTGGATTGCTGTTTATAGATTTAAACAAGTCTAATGCTGAGTGGTGGTTTCCCTATATTTTGAGCGTTAAGTTTTAATGCCCAAGTTTAGGGACTGAAGACTAAGTTGTTAGAGATTCAGTTTAGATCGCATTCTATGCTGGTAATTATGATAAGCATAATCATTGAATAAAAAATTAAGAAGAAGCCTCACGCCTGTACTGTGATATGTCCCTACAAAATTACAGCGAAGTATAGATGGTGCCACTTTTTATTACAGCCAGAATTTGTTCGTTTTAGATCGGCAACTTGTAGGCGGTACTTGAACTTCTACAGTAGCACGCTTTTCAGGTCGTTGTACACAGACTTTTAAATTCTTATCTCCCCATGTGTTTCCTTTAACGAGTCAGCATTTAATCCTTAGCTTGAATGACAAATATCTAGGTTGAACGTGATGATTCAAGCAAAGCACTGTTTTACTTTATCGGACTTAAACAATATAGGTACCTGCATCCACAAAGACATATTAGCGGCAAATACCGTTTTCGTCTATCTTTGAAAGGAAAATGTGTTTTATGTTTTATGATGCCTGCCATAAATAATTATTAGTGCAGCTGGTTTTAAGGGACAAATATTGTATTAGGTAGCTACCCGGTACCTTAGTGTAATACACTATGCCGGTACCTATCTACTGAAAGAGTTTTCAGTTTTACCTTGGCGTTCGCTTAACAACAACTACTGCGTTTGTTTTTAAATTTAACAGCATATTAATTATTATTTCTAGTTTTTAAACGTTTTATCGAAAGTGAAATGGGTAAAAATAAATGTGGTTATGTTAATTGCACTAATAATAGAGGTGATAGGAAAGATTTGACGTTTTTTTCTTTTCCTTTTAAAAACCCCGTGCGTTGTGCAGTGTGGCAGAAAAATTGCGGAAACATTACCATAGTTGGCAAAGATGTGACTGAGTTAAAACATAGTGCTTTGTGTGAAGAACATTTTGTGAAATCAGACATTCAAATTCGTTCAAATAGGAAAATGTTAAGTAAAACAGCGGTTCCAATAAAATATCAGGGTGAGTATAGGTACTACTTATTCTGACTTAAAAGTATTACACGACGTACACAATAAAGTAAAAATAGGAGTTATAATTTTTACTATAATCTATCTATTATTTGTATTACCTACAGATACCAAAAAGGAAACACCTGAACACCCCCAACTTGTAACAACCGCAAGTCTCGACCTTGAAGCGGCATCAACCTCCTCTTTTGGTAAGTTCAAAATAATTTATTTATACTGTATGTACCATTATGATCTGAAAATTACCACAGTAAAATCGCTCCGAAAATATACATTCGCGTGTTGCAAGTACAACATAAAAATATCATCTTGTCGTTTTCGGTCATAACTTTTTTTAGTAGAACGGAACTTCACTAAAAATTCACAAAAACCGAGACTGCAATGAATATGAAAAACGCAGCATAAAGATTAATAATAGTAAATCCTCGGCTAAATCTTTAAATTCCAAAAGTTCGCTCCCATTGTTAATTTAGAGGCAAAGTGTACATATTTTATTTAGTTTTTTTGCAGAGAAATAAAATTATTATCTACTCTACCGAGCGTAGGTAGATATAGGTAATAGCGAGGGTAATAGGTTGCTTTCTATTTTCTGAAATCCTCGCTGAAATCAGAGATCACATTTGTGCAGAATAAAGTAGTAAATCTCTGATTTTATAAAGTGTGAATTCAATTATAACTAATTAATTAAAGCTTGTAGAAATCTCATTTTGAATTAGCTCTTTTCTTTAAATTTTACAGTAAGTATTTTGAAAAAAAAAAACTTTTCTAATTCAATTCTTATCGTTGTGGATTTTTGTGCCTAACCAGAAGTTGTTAAAAAAACGACTGAAAACTGCAGGTTTCTAAAGCATAGTCAAAAAACTATTTAGGGGAAGGAAAACTACTCATTTATGAAACTAAGACGCTATTGAATTTTTTAAAAAATCACACCGGGGGCTGTTCCAAAATTTTCCTTCCCTAAATTATTCACATTGACCGATTATTATGAATAATCACCGTATTAATCACTTTGACCGTAACACATATATTATTCAAAATACTTGGTGTTGTTAAGTAGTGTTAGAGAATTATAAAAATGTCTGTTCAATGGTATAAAATCTATATTGTATAGCGCCCATGCAACAAAAGAAAGTGCCTATGTCAGTAACAGTTATCCTAAATTTTATATTGGAATTTTCTATCGAAATAAGTAACTTTCATATTAAATTCGTATCAAAATTAAACTTATTATCATGCCTTTTTACTTTTATAGAAAGTATTGGTTTTTGAAGTTTTAATTGGACGGGAATTATGAGATTTATTAAACCATGATTACATATGCACGAAAAACGTTTAATGTATAATAATTTTAATTCTATTCATTATTTACAGATGCAACTACAATTATCCAAACATATCTTCCCAAGAAAAGGGCGTGTAATCCATTAATCTCAGATAACGGCACGAGCAGTGAACAAAGTTCTGTGGTTAGCGAAACCGTGATTAATATGCCTGCGAGAAGTGAAATAATAACTCCTAAATTTAAACATCTAAGCTACAAAATTATGGATCTAAAAAAGAAACTTAAGACAAAAATAAAATCTTATAATCGCCTAAAAGCAAAAACCTCAAAGACTTCGCATTCATACCTCAATTTATCGAGTATCTTGTTCAAAAAATGTGCGCATGTTCAAACATTTGTCAAGATGCAGTGTTTCCATAAATTTAAAACACCATGGTCCACCATGGAGAAACAACTATCGCTCTCGTTGTACTACAAGTCACCTGCTTGTTATAAATTTATGAGGGAGACATTGAAATTTGTTTTGCCAAGCATTAAGACCATACAGACTTGGCTGAAAGTAACAAATTTAGCAACAGGCGTTAACACAGTCCTATTAACAAAAATAAAGGAAAAAATAAATTGCATGAACGAGTCGGAAAAACAGTGTGTGGTACTTTTCGACGAAATTTCATTAAAGAGGAAGTTAGAATACAATAACCAATTAGACATAATAGAAGGTTACCAAGATTTAGGTTCCTTAGGACGAAATTCATTAATTGGAGATAGCGCCCTAGTTTTTTACTTACGAGGGCTATTCTACAATTGGAAACTGCCCTTTTCGTATTATATCTCAAATGGAACTGTAAAAACGGTAAACCTTGTAACCATCGTTAAAGAAGTTTTAAACAAAATCATCGAGACATCACTAAAACCTCGAATAATAATATGTGACCAAGGTTCAAATAACCGAGGAACCTTTTTAAGTTTAGGTGCTACAAAAGAAAGTCCATTCTTTTACATCAATGGGTTAAAAGTTTACACGTGCTTCGACCCGCCTCATTTAATAAAGTCGTTACGGAACAATTTCATTAATCCTAAATTACGATTTATTGTCAATGATAAAGAAGTGACGTGGAAAGACGTTTGTGCTGCCTATGAGGAAGACTTGAAGAGTACAACGACTAAGGCTATGCCAAAACTAACACCATCACATATTAATCCAAATAATTTTGAACGGATGAGGGTTAAGTACGCTGTACAAGTATTCAGTAGATCTGTAGGAATAGGTGTCCAAACTACACATACCGTAACCGAATTAGGCAGTACAACATGGAAAAACACTGTCCATTTTATCCTATTTGTCAATAATTTATTTGATTCACTTAATAGTAAATTCCTAACCGATCCCAATCCAAATCGAAGACCTATATCAACTTACAATAACGTCGCCATAGAAAATCTAAAGAATGGCAAGGACATGTTTGAAAATATACGAGTATATGAAGGCAGTAAGAGAAGAAATAACATTTATTGTATTGATGGGTTTGGAATGACAATTAACGCAATTTTATTATTGTGGGAAGATTTGAGATTTGAAGATTATAAATATTTAGTAACGAGCTTCTTAAATCAAGATCCTCTCGAAAATTTTTTTTCTGTTGTTCGTCATCGCGGGGGATACAATCCATATCCGACAGTACAAAATTTTAGAAAATCGATGCAACTAAATATTTTTATTCGGTTGCAAAAGGAAGTAAATTCGTCTAGCAACTGCGAAGAAGACTTTGGAGAAGTAATTGAATTGGAAGCCGCTTCACTTGAATCTCCCGATGGAATTCCCACTTCCACACATCAGATGGGCCAAGTAACAGAAGATGAAAAGGAAAATCGGGATGTTCAGAATTATCCACACACTTCAAGTGCTTGCGATAGTCCACCGCAAGTTTCTTTGGAAAGTTGCAATAATACGTATGTGGCGGGTTTTATTGCTCACAGGCTTTTAAAATTATTAAAATGCGAGATATGCAAAAGTATACTAGTAAAATCGAAAGATGAATTAATAGATTCTACTGAAATTCAAATTTTATTAAGAGATTTTGGTGCTGAAAACATTTCATTTTTAAAAAGACCTTCAAAATTTTTTAATAGCATAATTAGGAAAATGTTGGTAAAGTTTAACGAACTATTTGAGGTGCATAAAAGTGAAATAAATATTCGCAAGATAATAGTTCAACGTTTAAAAGAGTTAATAGATCCCGAACTCGATAATAAGTGGGAATGTAAAGACCATATCAATACCTTTGTTCATTATTTTGTAAGATTACTTATTTTTAGGAAAATCAAGGACAAGTCACTAGTTTTAAAACATGAAAAAAAATTCAAACGTAAGGTAACTGTACTCAATCATTAACAAGATTTTCATAGTAGGAAAACATAAATACTGGTGTTCACGGAAGGACCAAGAGGTGTTCTTAAGGTTTGTTAGTTTTTTGTGTTCGTAATTAGTGAAGTTATATTTATGTTAACATGATTTTATTTTTAATTCCCTATGAAGCAATAAAATAAAGAACAAAACATACGGGGTGGTTTATTTAAAGTGCAAACATTATGATCTCGGAAGTGGAGGGGAAATATCGCTGTTAAATTGTGGGACCTATCTATCTATGTACTATTACAGTTTTTAAAAAACAGCACAAATGTTTTTTCATATTTACTTGTTTTTATGGCATGCTTGATTTATGTATAATTCGTGTTTGTCCAACATTTTAAAAACAAACGTATCAACCCGTATAGCGTTGCGGAGAGCTAAACATACTAACATCGATGATGTGAAATGTTTCTTCTATTAAAAAATTTAAATCTTCGGTTATTTTTCACAAGCTGTAGTGGTGTATTGAAGAAAAACATCACTTTTGGGTATTCCTCGATCTACATAAAATAGTAGATGATAGGCTATCGAAACAAAACAATAGCATTATTCAATTCGACCACGAAATAGATTAACTGATATTGTTGCTTGAAAGGGTTACCGCAACCTAACCTAACGCATGTGGTACCCTAAATTCTTCAAATAATAAGTTTGAGAAGGCCATTAAACAGAATAACATTTACGCTGGAATTTACGGGCTCAGCAACATGATACCATTAATGCGAGTGGTGCTGACGCGTAATGAACACCTTATTATCAACTATCAAGGTTGGCTAAATAAAACGAGACAATATCTTAAAATAGACGATAAGCTCATAATGTAGCAACAACGCTCTATCACGCACCATCTACAACTGAATGAATTATTTTATTTTAAAAAGTGGGGATATTCTTCGGCAAGTATCGGATCCGTGGAGGGATCTACTGCCCAAACCCCGCGTATGTTACCAACAGATCCACTTCTTTCCATTTAGTTAGGCTTCTTCTTAATTTTTTATTCAATGCCTTAATCTAGCTAAACATATTTTTCATTATTTCTAAGTTACTTTATATCACATCTTGTACTTATATGGAAACCCAGTCGTAGGAGTAAGCAAGGTTAATCGTAGGTACATATGTTTGATTCCGCATTTTAGTTCCTTTCTCCGGATATCTTATCTGTACCGAAACAGTATCGTTAACACTTGAGTATTCGACAAACTAGTAGCTTGATCTACTGAAGCAAGGGTGGTGGATTTCCATCCATAATCTCGGACCGTAGTGTTACCTACGTCGAGTTGCCGAAATTCGTTCTCCCTTTTTTAAGCAGTATAAAGATGGTAACATTATTTGTATAAAATCTGCTTTGGTTGTTGATGACCGTATATGCGTTGGTAATTCAACAGCCTATATATTCTTTGTGTATCGTTACGCCCTTGTTGTATTGTTGCATGTATTGATTGTAGCGAGTATTCCGCTTGTGGACCCATTGTCCATATTTATTAATTGTTAGAGATTTTCTATTGCATTTATCGATTATGTAACGAACGGCTGTGTGCACGTAATGTAAATTCGAGCAGATTTTGCCCGTCATACAACCGTTTTATCTGCTCGAATTCATCGATTAGGTACACTACAAAGCTAATTCCGTTACTGTATTGAACCATACACAAATCTAGCTAGCTTTTTAAGGGTGCGTTTGCACGTCACCCCCACACAAAAAAGGTTTCAAATCCTCATGGTGGTCAAAACGTTAATACTCATATTTTCTACCACCCAAAAAAAATGGCATTCAATTAGCGACCGTCTGAGGGGGTGAAATCTTCCACTAACGTACAAAAAAATTCGTTTAACCCCCACGCAAGAAAGGTTTCAAATCCTCATGCTGGTCAAATCGTTTAGACTCATATTTCCTACCACCGAAAAAATTGGCATTCATTTAGCGACCGTCCGAGGGGGCGGAATCCGCCCCTAACGTACAGAAAAATTCGTTTAACCCTCACGCAAGAAAGGTTTCAAATTCTCATGCTGGTCAAAACGTTTAGACTCATATTTTCTACCACCGAAAAAATTGGCATTCATTTAGCGACCGTCCGAGGGGGCGGAATCCGCCCCTAACGTACAGAAAAATTCGTTTAACCCTCACGCAAGAAAGGTTTCAAATTCTCATGCTGGTCAAAACGTTTAGACTCATATTTTCTACCACCGAAAAAATTGGCATTCATTTAGCGACCGTCCGAGGGGGCGGAATCCGCCCCTAACGTACAGAAAAATTCGTTTAACCCTCACGCAAGAAAGTATTCAAATCCTCATGCTGTCAAATCGTTTTAGACTCAATTTCCTCCACCGAAAAAATTTGGCATTCATTAGCGACCCGTCGAGGGGCTTGAATCCGCCCCTAACGTACAGAAAAAAATTCGTTTAACCCTCACGCAAGAAAGTTTCAAATTTCATGCTGGTCAAAACGTTTAGACTCATATTTTCCACCGAAAAATGTTATAGCGACCGTCCGAGGGGGCTTGTAATCACCTCTAACTTACCAAAAAAATTCATTAATCTCACACAAGAAAAGTTCAAAATCCTCCTGCTGTTAAACGTTAAACCATATTCCTACCACCAAAAAAATTGGGCATTCATTTACCGACCATCTGAGGGTGAAATCTTCCACTAAACGTACCAAAAAATTCGTTAAAACCCCACGAAGAATGTTCAAATCCTCATGCTGTAAATCGTTTTAGACTTTCAATATTTCTACACGAAACATTGCATTCATTTAGCGACCGTCGAGGGGCGGCAATCCGCCCTAACGTACAAGAAAATTCGTTTAACCCCTCACGCAAGAAGTTTCAAATTCTCATGCTGTCAAAACGTTTAGACTCATATTTTCTACCACCGAAAATTGCATTTATTTAGCACCGTCCAGAGGGGATGAATCCACCTCTAAGACTTACAAAAAAAATTCGTTTAACCCTCACGCAAGAAAGGTTTCAAATTCTCATGCTGGTCAAAACGTTTAGACTCATATTTTCTACCACCGAAAAAATTGGCATTCATTTAGCGACCGTCCGAGGGGGCGGAATCCGCCCCTAACGTACAGAAAAATTCGTTTAACCCTCACGCAAGAAAGGTTTCAAATTCTCATGCTGGTCAAAACGTTTAGACTCATATTTTCTACCACCGAAAAAATTGGCATTCATTTAGCGACCGTCCGAGGGGGCGGAATCCGCCCCTAACGTACAGAAAAATTCGTTTAACCCTCACGCAAGAAAGGTTTCAAATTCTCATGCTGGTCAAAACGTTTAGACTCATATTTTCTACCACCGAAAAAATTGGCATTCATTTAGCGACCGTCCGAGGGGGCGGAATCCGCCCCTAACGTACAGAAAAATTCGTTTAACCCTCACGCAAGAAAGGTTTCAAATTCTCATGCTGGTCAAAACGTTTAGACTCATATTTTCTACCACCGAAAAAATTGGCATTCATTTAGCGACCGTCCGAGGGGGCGGAATCCGCCCCTAACGTACAGAAAAATTCGTTTAACCCTCACGCAAGAAAGGTTTCAAATTCTCATGCTGGTCAAAACGTTTAGACTCATATTTTCTACCACCGAAAAAATTGGCATTTATTTAGCGACCGTCCGAGGGGGTGTAATCCACCTCTAACTTACAAAAAAATTCATTTAACCCTCACACAAGAAAGGTTTCAAATCCTCCTGCTGGTTAAAACGTTAAAACTCATATTTCCTACCACCCAAAAAAATTGGCATTCATTTACCGACCATCTGAGGGGGTGAAATCTTCCACTAACGTACAAAAAAATTCGTTTAACCCCCACGCAAGAAAGGTTTCAAATCCTCATGCTGGTCAAATCGTTTAGACTCATATTTCCTACCACCGAAAAAATTGGCATTCATTTAGCGACCGTCGAGGGAGGCGAATCCGCCCCTATACGTACAGTAAAAATTCGTTTTAACCCTCACGCAAGAAAGATTTCAAATTCTCATGCTGTCCAAACGTTTAACTCATATATTTTACCACCGAAAAATTGGCATTATTCAGCGACCGTCCGAGGGTGTATCCACCTCTAACTATAACAAAAATCATTTAACCTCACACAAGAAAGCTTTCAAATCCCTGCTGTTAAAACGTTTAGACTCATATTTTCTACCACCGAAAAAATTGGCATTCATTTAGCGACCGTCCGAGGGGGCGGAATCCGCCCCTAACGTACAGAAAAATTCGTTTAACCCTCACGCAAGAAAGGTTTCAAATTCTCATGCTGGTCAAAACGTTTAGACTCATATTTTCTACCACCGAAAAAATTGGCATTCATTTAGCGACCGTCCGAGGGGGCGGAATCCGCCCCTAACGTACAGAAAAATTCGTTTAACCCTCACGCAAGAAAGGTTTCAAATTCTCATGCTGGTCAAAACGTTTAGACTCATATTTTCTACCACCGAAAAAATTGGCATTTATTTAGCGACCGTCCGAGGGGGTGTAATCCACCTCTAACTTACAAAAAAATTCATTTAACCCTCACACAAGAAAGGTTTCAAATCCTCCTGCTGGTTAAAACGTTAAAACTCATATTTCCTACCACCCAAAAAAATTGGCATTCATTTAGCGACCATCTGAGGGGGTGAAATCTTCCACTAACGTACAAAAAAATTCGTTTAACCCCCACGCAAGAAAGGTGTCAAATTCTCATGCTGGTCAAAACGTTAAAACTCCTATTTCCTACCACCGAAAAAATTCGCATTCATTTAGCGACCGTCTGAGAGGGTAAAATCTGCTCCTAACGGGAGCAGATGCATATCCTCAATCAGGACGACGGAGATGAGCTCATCGGTTACTTAAAGAAGATGTCCGCGGGGTGCCGGGTGGGGTGTTGTTTCCACTGCTGTGGTGCCTGGTGCTAGACTCTGAACGAGGACAGATCGTATACACAGGAATTTGCGGACGAGCGAATAAGCAAAAAGGCCACTGCATGTCTATGGGCATGTA